AATAAAACTCTCTGATTTTCTTCTTCAGTATTCACTCATGCAACAAATATTTATTGATCCTTTACTATATATCCTGGACTATGTACTAAGGATACAGTGATGGCCCCTGCCTTCATAGAGCTTACATTCTAGTTAAGGAGACAAGAATAAGCAAGTAAACAAAAGAATAAATAATATTGTTTCAGGTTGTAATAGATGATAAGAAAATAAAATAATTACTCTTTTTGATAAATTATCTGAGAGACATAAATAGGCTGCTGTCTTAGGCTAGTTTCTCTAGACGAGCAAAACCAGTGAAGCATGTATATAAATATAGAGTGAGAGATTTATTTCAAGGAAATGGCTCTGTAGTTGTGGAGGCTGGCAAGTCCCAAATCCATGAACCAGGTGGCAGGCTGGAGGCTTCTCCTGACTCACGTGTCAGCAGGGCCTGACAAACCCCAAATCTGCAGATCAGATGGCGGGCTGCTGGCTCATGGGGTTACGGAAGCTGGCGAATCTGAAATCAGTAGGTCAGGCAGGAGGCCGCTGGCTCACATCCCAAGAATTGGAGGTCAGAGGATGATGAGGCGATTGCAGGATCAAATGCAGGTGCAGGATCAAGAGAAAGTGAACTTTGCCAGCACATCCATATATATTGGATGTAGGCCACACCCCCAAGGAAACTCCCCTTTCAACAGATTGGCTGCTCACATCATATCACAAAATGGAGGATGATTATATAATATCTGCCAAACCACTGTGAATCATAGCCTAGCCAAGCTGACATATAACCTTAACCATCACAGCTGCTAAAAAAAAATGGAGGATAGGGGAACCAACTTTAAAAGGTTATCAGGGAAAGTCTCTCTGAGGAAGTAGCGTTTAAACTGAAGCCTTAAGAATGAGAAAGAGCCAAGGAAAGAACACAAGCAGTCAGAAGAGTAGGTGCATAGCAGCTGTTCAAGGAACTGAAAGACCAGAGTAGGTGGGCCATAGAGAGTGAGGGGGAGAGTGATAGGAGATGAAGAAGCAGTGGTAGCTAGAACATTTAGAGTGTGGAGAGTGATGGGAAGGAGTTTTTGTTTTATTTTTAACTGCAGTAAGAAACCACTGGAGAGCTTTATGTAGAGAGTGATGTGGTCGTTTTTGTCATCAGATAGGCCTAGTGCAAGCACTGGTCAGTCCATTCTAACGTAGGGCTACCAGTAGGAATTTCTCCTACCTCTGTGTTGTTCGCACTTACCTTATGATCTAACTCTTCTCAGCAGATTGCCCTTTCCTATGTGAGCAGGTATTTATAAAAACCCATATAAGTTTCTTTGACCTTTATGTAATGTAGAACTAATTATCAGCTAGCTTGTCTAGGACATTCAGACCTCTGTCTTCCACTATTCCTCATCTTGGTGGCCTACATAAAATACAGGAAACAAACTTAGAGTTCAGTACTAGAATTAATATAGATTGCCCCCTTCCTGATCTGGGGAAAATTAAATTGTTCACATAATCACAGAAGAACATTGCTGTAGTTCTTTGATTTTCTATAGAAATTAACTCAGTGAATTATTTTGTTTGCCTCAGTTGAAATTTAAATTTGAGCATACCTCTGATGTATCCGAAGATTAAATCCTTTTCCCCCAGATATTGAAGTTTTGTCTCTAATTCAGATTTAGAAGGAAACACCTTTGTATAACAGAAAGAAAGTGGAAAAGCGATTTCTTGCCAACAGTAAATCTCTTCTTGAAATACTGAGATTTTTGGTTCTCCGTAGTCCTTTAGACTTGAAACTTTGGAAAAATCTTTGACTTCTCCCCTCCCTAGTTCCCCTAGTCCACCACATCTAATCTTTTGCCAGGTTTTACACATCTGCCAACCCTTTCACTCTTGTTGGTAGGAATGGTTCAGGCCATCATGCTTTGCCAGGACTAGAGCAATGAGTAGTCTAACTTCTTCCTTCTCCAATTAGCCTACACTAGTGTTAAGGAGTCCCAGTGGCGCAGTGGTGAAGTGGTCAGCTGCTAACCAAAAGATTGGAGGTTTGAACCTACCAGCTGCTCCACTGGAGAAAAAACCTGACAATCTGCTCCCATAAAGATTACAGCCTGGGAAACACTATGGGGCAGTTCCACTCTGTCATACAGGGTCGCTATGAATTGGAATCAACTCGACCGCCTACAGCAGCAGTATTAGATCCACTTTAGTGCATCAGAGCCCTGGTGGTGCAGTGGTTAAGTGCTCAGCTGCTAACTAAAAGGACAGCGGTTGGAACCCACCAGCTGCTTCACAGAAGAAAGATGTGGCAGTTTGCTTCCATGAAGATTACAGCCTTGGAAACCATAAGGGAAGTTCTTCTCTGTCCTGTAGGGTTGCTATGAGTCAGAATTAACTCAGCAACGGGTTTGGTTTTTCGGGTTTATTGCCTACTGAAGGAAGTACAGACCAACTATTCAGCTGGCATTCAGACTGTCCTGGCAGAAATAGCCTACTTTATATATGTACGTATGTATTTTGTATTATAATCTTTCTGTAATAGCTAAAATAGTTACAATTCTAAAACAGATAATAGTTTTTTTTTTATTTTTAAAAAATATATACATGATGATTGTGGGAGAAAAATACCCGGATTATATATGCTTGTTTGTTTCAGTTAAGTGATATAGTTTAATTATTTGTTTGATTTGGCAATGGTTATAATCATTCCAGAGCCCTGGTGGCACAGTGGTTAAGAGCCCTGCTGCTAACCAAAAGGTCAGCAGTTTGAATCCACCAGCCACTCCTTGGAAACCCTACGGAGCAGTTCTGCTCTGTCCTGTAGGGTTGCTATGAGTCGGAATCGACTTGATGGCAGTGGGTTTGGTTTGGATAATCATTCCATGACAGAATCAGTGACCTTGATGAAACATCTGCTTCTTTTGTCTGAGTAAAAAAAAAAAAAAAAATTCATTTTTAATTTTTTTAATATAGCTAAAATTTGTATTGAAGAAACCTTTAAAATAATTATAATTAAAAATATCAATCGTCATGTCTTCACTATTTTTATTTTTGTGATTACCTTCATATACATATATTTTTAATTACATAGTATACATTCTTTTGTATACTGTTTACTGTATCATAAATATGTCTACATTTTCATGATTCTGCACAGACTTTATAATTTTTCATTTGTATGGCTATATAATCTTTGGTTGGTATACCATAATGTATAAATCATCCTCACTAAACTGTACATGCTGCAAAGAGTGTGTATGTGTGTGTGTTTCTTTTGAATCATTAGAATGAATGCCCTGAAACAGAATTTTGAGGTCAAAGTGGTATTTGCTAAATATTGCTATTTATCTTCCAGAAAAAATGGACAAATTTACAGTGACCTAGTAACAACTGTGACAACTAACTTTTCCAAAAGTTGATACTGAATATTATCACACACCAAAAAAAAACTTATACAGAGTTAAACAAAGAGCGTAAATTTTCCAGATTTTTTTTAATACAACAATAAAACTTAATCATTATTTTCAAACGTATGGTGTATATCTGCTAAAATGAAATAATTATCTATTTCTGATTTGTGAAGGTGTATTATGGTTATTTCAGGAAATTCACTCTTTTTTAAAGAAATATGTGAATGGACTATCTGTAATTAACCATCAGAACTTCAGTGTAACTGAGTAAGTGAAGTGGACATAATTTCTTATGGTAAATTTCAAACTAGTTCTGGAAATTGTTTTTGAAGTTATATTTTTCAAAATCTGTTGAAAAGATGATGATGGGATCCTTACAGTCATATAATATATAATGACAACAACTGAAGCAGTGTGACACTGACACAGGGACTTACTTACTGATAACTGGAACAAATACAACTTAGCAACAGACTCAATATAAATAAGATAAAGTAAACATTTCAGATTAGTGAAAAGTCAGACTGTCAGTGGGACAATTTGTTAACCATTTGGGGAGAAAAATAAAGTTAGATCTCTATCCTATTCCAGACTCAAGAATAAAAGTACTAGAAAAGTATGTCAGCTGGAATTAGGAAGGGTCTTTCTTCCAAGGCACCTCTGGGTCAACTCAAAGTTTCAGGCTTCTGGGTAGCTGCTGAGCGTGTTAACCATTTGCCCTTAGTACATCCTATAATTACATAAGCACTGAAAAAAGTCTTTTGAGAAAACCAATAGAGATTCATCCTTACGATGTGTGTAAAAGACAAAAATCTTTTTTTTTTTTTTTTTAAATTGGCATGAGTACAAGCAGTATAGGTACAAAGACAGCAGGTCAAAGTTTGGTTTTGCTACCTTGACTGCTCAACCTTTTAAACCATTAGTGCATTTAGGGGCTTTGCCTCCCCTAATAATATGCCTACTAAATTAAAAAATAAAATATCATCATGAACTTAGAGGAATTACTGTTTTCACTGGTATTTTTAAAGAAAGAAATTGTCTTCACCTTGCATTGCTTTCTGCAGAACTGACATTCAACTGATACATACTGGCACGGCCATGTTGGTTGTTAAATATGGTAATACGTACTTTCTTACTGTTCGGTAAAGGGCTGCTGTTGTAAGCCATCTAATGCCTTGCCAGCACCCGGTCTCTCCCCCAGTAACTCCACCCCTGCATCTCCCTACAATCCAACAATTAAAAGGTTATCATAATCCAACAAATAAAAGGATCCTGCTTCTTTACTACTCCTGCATTCACACTGATTGCTGGTACCTGGGCTATCTCCAGTTGTTCGCTAATTTTGAGTATCATCCTGGCATTCTGACTATTCCAGTAAATCATTACTGTTTTAGTAGTGTTTGCATTCTGCCAACTAGAGTATCAACTGGCTCTTGCTTACCTGCCATTGCTTATCTGTGTAAAACCAAAATTCAGAATTTTATTATTTTCTGAAAAAGTCCAGAATACCATTAAACTGTAACTGTTATAATCTAAACCACCACTGTTTTTTTCTCCCTTTATATCTCTCAGTGTTGATAGTCTGACCTAAGTTCTGTGTTCTCTTATTATTCCTTTCAGTTCGCTTTGCACCTTACAGGCCTCCAGATATCTCTCTGAAGCCTCTGCTCTTTGAAGTGCCCAGCATCACTACAGAGTCCGTGTTTGTTGGCCGAGATTGGGTTTTCCACGAAATAGATGCTCAACTGCAAAGTTCAAATGCCAGTGTGAACCAAGGAGTAGTGATTGTGGGAAATATTGGGTTCGGCAAAACTGCCATTATCTCCAGACTGGTGGCCCTCAGTTGCCATGGCACACGGATGAGACAGATCGCCTCAGACAGCCCACACGCCTCCCCCAAACGTATGTATTCGTTTTTAAAGAAATCCCCGCTTCGTTGCTCTGAAACGTTTTCTAACATTTATATTAGATCACGTGTTCTTTTATTTCCTGATTTGCAAAATCCGACTTGCATGTGAGGGCCGTTAATTTAGAGTTGAGAGAAAGAATGCAGTATTCTGTTTACATTTAATCCGCATATCCAGTAGTCACTTAAGTGTGACTGGAAAAAACCTTTCTCTCAGAAAAAATTTATGACTCTTCCCTACTGGCTGTATGGCTAGTCTGTCCTGTGGATAATGACTACAACAATTGCCTATAGAGCCATTTGCATCCATCACTGTCAGCTTTTGCTCTCCCTGTGCCCATTTCTTCTTCTTACATGCCAGCACAATCTGTTTGCAGCCTTCATTTCGTTGCTGTTGACGTCAGTGTTGCACTGCTTGGGCTTGAGCTTCAGCTGTGTCCTTGAAGGGCCTCCCCGGCCTTCTTGTGAAAAGGTGCTGAGCTCTCCTTTGTTTCATGCTTCTTTCATCGCTGGCAGAGCATAGCTTAATGATCACCACCAGGATCGTGTTTGTTTATTTTAAAAACACTCATGTAGTGCTTACTATGTGCCAGGCACCCTCTTAAGCACTTTACAGATACTAATTCATCCAGTCCACATAACAGCTCAGTGAGGTAGTTCATGTTATCTTTATTTCACAGGTAAAGAATCAGTAAGTCTCCCACATCTCATAGTCAGTAAATGGTGAAAGTAGAATTCAAGCCCAAGCAGTCTGATTTCAGAGGCCATTCTCTTACGCATTTTGCTATGCTACCTGTCTTTATGGGTGGAACTCACTAGTATAGGAGATAAAAAGAAACATATAGACGTGCTTCCTGAATACTCTTTAGAACAAGTCTGGAGCCCTGGTGGCGTAGTGGTTAAGAGCTCGGCTGCTAACCGAAAGGTAGGCAGTTCAAATCCACCAGCCACTCCTTGGAAACCCTATGGAGCAGTTCTACTCTGTCCTGTAGGGTTGCTATGAGTCAGAATTGACTCAATGGCAACAGGTTTGTTTTTTTGGTTTATAGAACAAGTCTACCTGGTTTCTGTGAGATATGAGAGAACCAGAAAAGAAACTACTGCTCTGCTTGTCCAAATCAATAATCTCTCTCACCACAAATTTTCAGACAACAACCACTAGAGATCATAGTAGTTATAGGGTCTAGCCAGTGCTAGAAACTTAGCAGAAACTCACTGAGTAACCTCCAAACATCCTGATTTCCTGTTAAAATTAATTAGCAGTCTCATGTCATTAAGTAGGCAGATTGCCTCTTTTAAACATTGATGTCAAGCATGTGGAAGAAGAACCAGTTTTTTCATTTTCTAGGAAGAAAATTGGTTAAACCAACAGTCCTTGTTTACCCCAGGGTATGGTAAAAATTGGTATGGAAGAATTGTTTTATTAAGAGCAATATCATGTTTAGTTTCAAAATGAAACCCTTTAGAGGTAGATTGGCATAGTCCTGGAAGTCAAGCCCAGTGTTTGAGCTCCAACACTCAACTATGCTTTGTGACCTTCAGAAATTTACTGTAATTCTTTAGATCTCAGTTTTATTATCTGAAAATGAAAAGTTGGAATAGTTGATATTGAAAATTTATCCTAGTGCTAAAAATCTGTGATTCTAAAAACATGTCTTCATGGTTAAAAGTAACTTTCCACACCTATTCCAGTAATTTCCTTTGAGTGCTTAAATGTCTGTCATACCAAACTACTTCTCATCTGAGTAGTCCAAGAGGTTAGCTATTTGAGTGTGTCAGAAAGAAAACCAGATAGCTGATAGTCTCTCTGACTTCTCTGTATATCACTGTTGCAGATAACAGAATGGTAGAATCATGCATGACAGAGGATAAACCCCAAGGGCAAGAAGAGCTGCTTTCTCAGAAAGCAAAGGTACCTGGGGGTCCCCTAAGGGAGCCTGGGAGAGAAAGAGTTAATAGAAAACAGCCTATGTACTCCCCAAAACAGAGGTTCCTTAAAATTAGTTGATTGACTTGTTGTCTAATGCCCGTTGCCTTTTATCTACTGAAAATCTCCAGAAACACGGGGACACTCCCCATTCATGAAATGAATGTCCATCATTGAGACTGTATATTTTGCCTGATAGTTAACTTTCAAAACTTGGAAATGAATCAGGGAAGATAGAGTACGTAACTGTGTATTTATCATAATTACAGAACCAGCAATTGCCTGATTTTTGTTGTAGTCTGTTGATGTTCAAACTGCATTCTACCTTGGCCATCTTAATTGAACTACTAGTTCTTAAAAAAGGGTCAAAAATAAGTAACTGATATAATGCCAACTATTTGGGGGCATAAATCTAACTATTACTCTATGAGCTTATGCTGGAAATGTTACTGGCAGCAGCAGAATTTTTTTTCATTAATAATAAGAATGATATCTGTATAGAGAGTTTAATTTTTTCGAGTTTAATTGCTGTTAAACTTGGATTTATTTGGAATCCCACTGGCTTTCCTAATACTCAGTCAGTTGATACCAGTGATGTAGTTATAGTAAAAATGGAAAGAAATTGAAAATTATTGGAGCTCCCAACTTCCATTTCTGTGTCATTTGCTGTTCTTTCTTCTCCTCTGCCTCTGCCTCCTCCACACTGAGCAGTGCTGCTGTGGAAGATGTGAGCTGTTGAGCCGGCAGTACTGCATTGCCTGGCTCTCTCCTTCCCCCACAGACACTCAGTTCCCAGCCCACCCCCTCCTTGTCATTTCCCTGGGAAAGTACAGAAAAGCTGTCAAGGCAGGCACTAGCCTGTCATCCTGCTTTCCACCTACACCCTTTCCCGAACCTGGCTCCCCCACTTAGTCTCCACCACCACCACCACCACCACCCACCCACACCAACCCCCAACACACACACAAAGAACAAAAACATTTTGTGATAATAGACCTGTGATTCAGGCATTATTACATTAACCATAAGAATGCTCAGTACAGTAGTTAGGGAAGTCTAATAGAAGACTATACTTTTCCTATTACTAAGAGTCTCAGTGTAGTTATTATTTGGATTTGGCATTTGCCAACAGCTGCCATGTCCCAAACAGCTGTTAATAACCCTTACCCTCCCTACTCTGCTCATTTCGGAAGTCTGTTTTCCCAGTTTTTTTGATGTGCACAATGGCTACTACCTACCTATTAACTTTATTTCTATTGTTCTCTAAATACCAAACAGAAAGTAAGACACTCGGACAGAAAGGAGGGCATCTCCAAAAGAGAATAGCTAGGAGACCAAGTGTTCAGATGCTAATTACCACAAAATCCAATACCAGATAAAGGGGAACAGGGTGTGGCGGGAGAGAGTAAACAGAAGGAATGATATAATGACAGCCAATCACCACAATCTAATTTTAGAACATTCTCCTCTCCTCTTAAAAGAAATCTGGTACCCATTAGCAGTCAGTCCCATTCTCCCTCTACCTCCCCGCCCCCAGCCCTAAGCAACTGCTCATCTATTTTCTGTCTCTATGGATTTGCCTGTCGTGGACATATCATGTAAATGGGATCATACAGTATGTGGCCTTTTGTGTCTGGCTTCTTTCACTTAGCATAATGTTTTTAGGAATTATCCATGTTGTAGCATGTATCACTATTTCATTTCTTATTGCCAAATAGCATTCCATTGTATAGATATACCACATTTTATTTATTCATACATCAATTGATGGGCATTTGGGTTATTTCTACTTTTTGGCTTTTGAATTATGTTTCTGTGAACATTTGTGTACAGATTTTTGTGCATACATGTGTTTTTATTTCTCTTGGGTATATACCTAGAGTTGGAATTGCTGGGTTATAGAACAAATGGATTTAACCAATCTCCCTTTAGTTCAGAGTTTTATGATTATCTAGTGCAAACATCTCATCTTTCTAATCCAGATGTGGATGCCAACAGAGAGCTGCCACTCACTCAGCCACCTTCAGCCCACTCATCTATCACCAGCGGAAGCTGCCCAGGAACCCCAGAAATGCGCAGGCGGCAGGAGGAGGCTATGCGGAGACTAGCCTCGCAGGTACAGTAGTATACCCAGGTTTAAAAAAAAAAAAAAAACCTCGTTGCTTTTGGGTCAATTCTGACTCGTGGTGACCCCATGTGTTGGAGATATGCTATTTCCATTTAATGTCAAGGAGGCAAAGGTAGGGACATCTTTGGTAAAGTGAACAAAAATCTGTACAGGTATATCAAGAGAACATGGAGAAAAGTTTCTCTTTGTTATTACTAGAAAAATTTTATTATGGAATCAGAACCTTAGAGCTGGAAGGGCCCTTAGAAGTATTCAGAGTCCTCTAATGAATAGAAGTTGAGACTCAGAGAAGTTACATGCTTTACCCCAGATCACACTGTAAGTGATCAATAGTTTGGGGGTTTTGTTGTCATTATTGTTGTTTTTTTTTTTCATTCCTAACTTAAAACCCTTCCTGCTATATACTACACTGTCCATAATATTTTTTATGTGTTTGGGTTTTAAATTTTTATTTTGTATCAAAGTAGCACATACACATCGTTTAGAAAATGAAATACTCAAAGGCTTATAATAAAAACCATCATCAATTCTCTTCCCTTCTGTTGTTGTTGTTGTTGTTAGGTAGCATCGAGTTGGTTCCAACTCATAGAGACCCTATGAACAACAGAACAAAACACTGCCTGGTCCTGCATCATCCTCATAATTGTTGTTATGCTTGAGCCCATTGTTGTAGCCACTGTGTCAGTCCCTATCGTTGAGAGTCTTCCTCTTTTTTGCTGACCCTCTATTCTACCAAGCATGATGTCCTCCAGGGACTGGTCCCTCCTGATAACATGTCCAAAGTATGCAAGATGAAGTCTCACCATCCTTGCTTCTAAGGAGCATTCTGGCCGTACTTCTTCCAAGACAGATTTGTTTGTTCTTCTGGCAGTCCATGGTATATTCAGTATTCTTCACCAACACCATAATACAAAGGCATCGATCCTTCTTCAGTCTTCCTTGATCATTGTTTAGCTTTCGCATGCATATGAGGTGATTGAAAACACCATGACCTGGGTCAGGTGCACCTTAGTCCTTTTAAAGTAACATCTTTGCTTTTTAACACTTTAAAAAGATCTCTTGCAGCAGATTTGCCCAATGCAATGTGTCACTTGATTTCTTGACTGTGGCTTCCATGTGCATTGATTGTGGATCCAGGTAAAATGAAATCCTTGACAACTGCAATGTTTTCTCTGTTTATCATGATGTTGCTTATTTATCCAGTTGTGAAGATTTTTGTTTTCTTTATATTGTGTAATCCATACTGAAGGCTGTTGTCTTTAATCTTCATCAGTAAGTGCTTTAAGTCCTCTTCACTTTCAGCAAGCAAGGTTGTGTCATCTCCATATAGTAGGTTGTTGATAAGTATTCCTCCAGTTCTGATGCCGTGTTCTTCTTCATATAGTCCAGCGTCTTGAATTATCTGCTCAGCATACAGATTGAATATGGTGAAAGGATACAACCCTGACACACACCTTTCCTGACTTTAAACCATGCAGTATCCCCTTGTTCCGTTCAAACAACTGCCTCTTGGTCTATGTACAGGTTCCTCATGAGCACAATTAAGTATTCTGGAATTCCCATTCTTCTCAATGTTATCCGTGATTTGTTATGATCCACACAGTCGAATGCCTTTGCATAGTCAATAAAACACAGGTAAACATCTTTCTGATATTCTTTGCTTTCAGCTATGGTACATCTGACATCAGCAGTGATATCCCTTGTTCCACATCCTCTTCTGAATCCAGCTTGAATTTCTGGCAGTTCCCTGTCGATGTTCTGCTGCGACAGCTTTTGAATGATCATCAGCAAAATTTTACTTGTGTGTGATATTAATGATATTGTTCAGTCATTTCTGCATTCTGTTGGATCATCTTTCTTTGGAATGGGTACAAATATGGATCTCTTCCAGTTGGTTGGCCAGGTAGCGTCTTCCAAATTTCTTGGCGTAGACAAGTGAAAACTTCAGCACTGCATCTGTTTGTTGAAATGTCTCAGTTGGTATTCCGTCAATTCCTAGAGCCTTGTTTTTTGCCGTTGCTTTCAGTGCAGCTTGGATCTCTTTCTTCAGTACAATCGGTTCTTGATCAGATGCTACCTCCTGAAATGGTTAAACGTCGACTAATTCTTTTCTATTCCTTCCATCTTCTTTTGATGCTTCCTGCGTCATTTAGTGTTTTCCCTGTAGAATCCTTCAAAATTGCAACCCGAAGCTTGAATTTTTTCTTCAGTTCTTCCAGCTTGAGAAAATGCTAAGCGTGTTATCTCCATGTCTTTGCATATTTTATTATAATACTTTGTCTTCTCGAGCTGCCCTTTGAAATCTTCTGTTCAGCTCTTTTACTTCATCATTTCTTCGATTCGCTTTAGATATTCTACATTCAAGAGCAACTTTCAGAGTCTCTTCTGACATCTATTTTGGTCTTTTCTTTCTTTCCTGTCTTTTTAATGACCTCTTGCTTTCTTCACGTATGATGTCCTTCCCCTCTAACCCACCTGTTGTCTAAAGACAACCACTTTGAACTCTTAAGGCTGTTTCTCTGATCTTTACCTCCATATTTTTAAATAATATTCATTTACTACTATAAGTTGCTTCATCAGTTTTACACATTATCTATTGCTTCATGTTATGAATGATGAGAATTTTAGCTCTTTCATCCTCCTGCTGCCATCCCAGTACAGTTATACCATGATTTTTGGCTGAATCCATATTTCAGCATTTTCAGTATTATGACTATGCAAATATGGGTCACAGTAGAGCCAAGGAATATCCCATAATAATGCTTTATTCCTTAAACTGTTTTGTTTTTCCTAGAGTTATGAAATGCCTCATTTTTTAATTTGCTTATTTTTCTTTAAACCTATGGCTAAGTCATTCCATAACCCCAAAGCCCTTAATAGCTTCATAAAATGCCTCTCAATACAATATTTCACACTTACCAGTTATATTTTTTCTCCTGGAGACATCCATCGTAAAGCCTTCCATTGGGCTCCAATCTGGACCCAGGATGTTCTCAAGGCTTACCTAGTTGTTATCCTGGAAATGCCTATCCCTTCTCTTCTGTGTTTTATCCCATGTCTTCTTCCTTGATTTTATTTCTCATTTTGATGGAGCATATCCTTCACTAGCTTTCTAAGAAAGGATACATAGGAAGTAAGTTGGAACTTCACATTTCTAAAAGCATCTTTATTCCATGCTTTCACTTTGTTGTTTGTTTGACATTAAAAATTCTTTTCCCTCAGATTTTTTAAGGCATCACTCCATTGTCTTGAGCTTCCAATATTGCTATTGAATAATCTGGTACTATTTTTATTTTTAATCCTTTATATATACCTTTTTTTCCCCCCAGAAACTTTAAAGATGTTCTTTTTATCACCATTGTTCTGAAATTTCATGATGAGGTACTTTGATATGGGTCTTCTTTTTTTTTTTTTTAAATTGTGTTGGCATCGAGTGAGCCCTGGAGATACATCATTCAATTCTGGGAAATCGTTTTGTATTATTTTTTGATAATTTTCTCTCCACCATTTTTTCTCTCCTTCTACAACTTTTATTAATCAAAAATTAAATTTCCTGTACTGGTAACTCTAGTTTAGAGTGCATCTACTTAACTTTTCTGTCTTGTTTTCTGTACCTTTGTTTTTTATCCATATTTGAGAGATTTCCTCAATATTATCTTTTAATCCTTTTACAAGAAGTTTTAGTTTTACTATCATAGTTTCAAATTCCAATAGCTCTTTCTTGCTCTCCAGTTACTCCCTTTTTATGGCATCCTGATCTTGTTTTATGGATGCAATATGTTCTCTTTTATTTAGTAGTTAGGCACTGTGAAAAGGTGATTGGAAGCTTGTGTGTGGAGAGAGATTAACTGTAGAGCATTAAAATGACCTACTAGACCAGACCTTTTATCTAAATACACAAAAGCAGTATCTGTAAGTTTGTTTGTTTGTTTTCTTGTGTTAATTATCTTTTCCAGGAAGAATCCTCCAGTCTCCTATCTGGAGGATATATATTCTGGGTTCCAGCATTCTAAAGCTGGGCAGGGGAAGAAAGCTGGGGTTTCACCATTCAGTATGCAGACTTTTATTTAAGCCCCCTGGTTTGATGTCCTAAATACAAATTCTCTGATGTCCTAAATACAAATTCTCTCTGGTTCAGTTTCACCAGTGAATATAATTCTCTTTTCTGTGGGTGTTACGGAAGATAGGTGGTCACCTGACTGGGCAGGGTGGGGCTAGAGATCTGGGGACCTAACTGCTTCTTATTATAAATCTCAAAAACTCTCTGTGCTTTCCACCTTCTTCCTCACCCCCATCTTCCACACTTCTAATTCCTGTGCTTCCCTGAGGTTTCTAATTCCTTTGCTTTTCTGAGGTTTTTCAGACAATTTGGCTTACTCCTTTTGTTACTACCCTCAGCAGACATTTGTTTCACCTTCTTCCAGCTGTTAGCTCATTTATAAATCCTCCAGTCACTTTCCGTCTTCATATATTGTAATCCAAGATTATACATAGATATTCCTAGTTGCATCAAAGATGGAGTTTGCATTTCTGTTTTTTTATTCTCTGTGTTATTTTGGGGGATTTACAGGAGAATAACAAAGTGGAAATGTCTATCTCCAATATTTAAAGAATTTTCTTGGCCTCCTTAACTAGTAATAAGGAACAGGAGTCATCTGCAATATCATGAATTGTTCCAATTTCTTCATAGAAAAAATTATACTGCTCCCTACTCCAGCTGAGAGCCAAAAGCAGCGTGTTTCCCCAAACTACATTATTAATTGTCCCCACTCATTACTATACATCTATACTTGGGCTTCTGAAAACAGTCTTGAGATTTTCCTCATACTCGTTGCTAACACAGTGCAACTTTAAAAGACATCTCTTTTTTTTTCTGGGTGAATTCCTCTTTAACCTTACCTTCTGACTTAGCATCCCACTTCTGGAAATCCCCCCTGAAGATACACTTTGAATAATATAAAAACATACAGGGTTATTTATTGCAGCATTGTGTATAAATACAAAATATTGAAAATACCCTAGATGCTCATACATGGGGGAGAAGCTAAATAAACTATGGTACATCCACTCAGTGGAATATTATACAGTTAAAAAAAGAATGAGGAAGAGCTCTATGATTTTCAGAAAATCTCTATGATTTTCAAGATATACTGTTAAGTGAAAAAAAAAATACTGAAGAATATCTATGTGATGCTAACCTTCATGTAAGAAAGAAGGGGATATAACAAAATATACATGCATACGCTCATTTGTACAAAATAAGTACAGGAAAGATAAACCAGAAACTAAAGAAATTGGTTACCTATAGGGGATAGGTAAGAAAGGGATAGAAAGAAGTGGGTAATGGGAATGGGGTACAGGGCTGAGGAGGAAGTGACACTTCTCTGAATATATCTTGTGTATAGTTCTGACTCTTAAATAGTTAAAACCAACCAGAATTTTGGGCGGGGACCCAGAGTGGAATGCAAACACTAACAAATGAACCTAAAGGTATTACAAGTGAATAACATTACAAAAACACTGAAAGAGACAGAGAAAAAAAGAACTAACCTAAGTAGCTTTGGAAAATAATATCTTGATGGGATGCTGTAACACTAAAGACAAAAAGAACTTTATATAAATGGCTGTCATATAGTTAGTGAATGTGTTTCTCACAGAGGTATGGCTTAGCAATTCTGAAAATATGTTATGGAATATACTAGAATTGAACAAATAAGTAAATATATTGTAGATGATAAGAACTGGCTTTCTCCTTGTTGGAGAAAGAAGTTATAAAATGAAGAAAGGAGGAAAGCTAAAATGAACCAGGTGGTACTAGATTTGAATCTGAAGTGTCAGTATTTACTCATGTTTTTTTATATATATTATATAAATATATATATATATAAGTAGATACATATGGAAATATAGGTGGTTATTTATGTATGAGTTAGTGTATATGTATGTCCCAGCTCTGTACACTGAGAGGAGGATCTAAAAGCAATGGTACCTCAATAGCAATGAACACGCCTAATACCCAGATCTTGTTTTCTAAACACCATTCTCCAGTAAAAAGAACCAGGGCTCTTTGTAGAGTAGATTGCAGGTTTGAGGCATGGAAAATACAAAATGAGCTTAGACGGTCTTGTGGTGCCGGAAAGTAAAGAAGTACTCAAAAAAGATGAAGGCTAGTTGAAAGAACATGGAGCCAACCTGAAGGAACTCCTAATGACCAAAGCTAGAACAACTTCAGCCATAAAATAAATAAAGGATTCCATTGTCACCAGTAGAATAAAATAAATACCCATGAATCGATACTGATTAAATAAATGGAGGAGAAGGGACAGCGCTCTCCTTCAGTAGAAAGAGATAAGTAATGCGGTGGTTAAGTGCTCAACTGCTAACCAAAAGGTTGGTGGTTCAAACCCCCCAGCCACTGCGTGGGAGAAAGATGTGACAGTCTGCTTCCATAAAGATTACAGACTTGGAAACCCTATGGGGCAGTTCTACTCTGTCCTATAGGGTCGCTGTGAATCGGAAGTGACTCAACGGCACCCAACAACAGTATAACCTATAGGCCTGCCCTTTTCTTTCTTCCCTCACAGAAGTAACCTAAAATTCACTGTCTTCTTCCAAAGAATTTATACAACTCTGATCATATCAGATATATTTTCGGTAGAATTATTTTAATAAAAACTTTAGGGACAGGAGAGAAAACAGAAAACACAGAGAGGATCACTGAAGAACTGCTGACAGAAAACTTCCCCAATATCATGAAAGATGAAAAGCTAGCCATCCAAGAAGCTCAATGAACCCCATACAGGATAGATCCCAAAAGAAAATCACCAAGGCATATCATAATCACACTCGCCAAAACCAAAGACAGACAAAGAATCCTGAGAGCAACTCGTGAAAAACAAGAAGTCACATACAGAGGAGGAACAATAAGACTAAGCTCAGAATATTTGTCAAAAACTATGCAGGCAAGAAGGCAATGGGATGACATGTATAAAACCTTGAAAGAAAAAAATTGCCAGCCAAGAATAATATATCCTGCAAAACTCTCGTTCAAATATCATCGTGAA